GAATGTCTGAGGTCAAAACCTATAACTAATATATATTAATTTGATATTATTTGATCTTTTACTTTTATAATGATATTAATAAATTCAAACACTAATTTTATTATAAAAATAGTAGGATTGAATTATACCGAATTAAAGTATAAGGAATAAGTTTAAGTTTAAGAATAGTATAAGTGTTGAAACTAGAATTTGACCTTTTAGGAGTTGGTAGGCTTTTATGCTTATCCAATTATTTGCTTGTGTAATTTTGATTGCTTTTCGGAGATATTTGACTGAGTTTTCATTTGTAACGATTTCACCATTTTTTGGTATGGAGAATATTACATTTTTAGTTTGGTCACTTTGGTGGTGTGACCCTATTTTGGCCACTTAGGTGGTATGAAACACGTACCATTGGATCCACGTCAAAGCACACCGATATGTAAAGTTTCAGGAAAAATATTATTATTGTTTTTTGAATAATTTAGAATGATGATATATTATGTAGTATGTAACGAGATCCGAAATAGTTGTTTAAATTTTTAAAAAGAATAATATTTTCCTTTATTATTGAAATTGTTGAGCTTGATATATATATATATATATTAGTATTTTATGAACTAATGTAAAAAATGATTAGGTGTACGATTATTATAAAACAATTAAAATAGTGATTACAAGAAACACCAAAAAAAAATTGATAATAAATTTATATATATATTTTATAATTATTGACAACACTTTTAATGCATTCAATATTTAAAAGGATATTTTTATTTGATAGATGTTTGAATTTAATTTTTTAAATGGTTTTAGATTTGATTTCATAATTTAAATTGATATTTATCATTTTGTCTGTCCAAGTTTTACATTTCAAATAAAAGTATTTCTATTTTTCAAAAAAAAAATTCGATGATGTTTAAATTTGTCTAAGTTCATCAACCCTAAACGGATTAAAATACAAGGTAATCAAATTTGATATAAAGTTTATGTTTGCAATTGGGTGAAAGACATGAGTACAAAATTGAACTAAAAATCAAGTTGGATTGGAGTACCAAAATATATATTTACCCAAATATATAAGATTACACATATTAGTATATGCTTCGCATTACAATAATTAATTAATTAACTAAAACAAGTCGGAATAAATCAAAATACGAGGAATATCAATAAGATTCTTCTGTTTTCAACTCAAAATATGAATTGGAGGATTAATTGGTAAATATATTTTTGCATTAATATAATTAATCAAATAATCAATTAAAAAGTGAAACTAATGGAATTTGGGACTAGTGGAGGAGTGTTTGGACAATCCCCTTTTCCCACGCGTGTGAGGATCACGTTCCTTTTAGCGTCTGACACACTTTCATCGCCTTCTGCCCTAAACCCAAGTTGTCTTTACATGTGGTTTACATGTCAGGGACCCACGCTCGACCCTCCACGTCGGATGCAGCATTACCGTGATGGGTAACGCCGTCACTAATATCAGCTTGGCGCCGTTATCTTACCGGCAGGTTATGGCCACGTAGGACGACACGCACGCGGCCTGCTTATGTCGCGTAAGAAAAGGTGGGAAAGCCACTTGGCATTGAAAAGATGAATACACATGGCAGTCGTAATATGATTAGCAATCTAACTCCAACGACCCAAATTCAAAAGTGATTTGTTTAAACCTCCTCCATCCAATTTTTTGCAATATTCACCGCATTATATGTAAAGTTCTATATGATCTCGATTAGATTGGTTTTGGACCTGATTCATGTCTGATATTATAATATATCTCTTTTAAAATATAAAATATAAAATTCAATTTATTTTATTTTATTGAAGAATTCTCTATTTCTTTCAAGAAATTTCTTTATTAAATATCTAATCTAAAAAATTACAAGAAACGATACTTAATTTAACTTAAGTTTAAATTGATAGAAACATATGATATTATTAAATCAAAACTTTTGAAAAAGGGTTTCTTTACATGGTTTCGTCCCAATCAACATATGATACTTCACATACTTTAAATAGAAAATTTATGAATACTATTAGTGAATATTATTTATTAAATTGTCAAACATGAATATCTTAATAAAATAGAATGCTCAAATTATTTCTTTATCTTTTTAGTGAATATCTTTTTATTTTTTATTTATTAATTTTTAACGGTCTATTTTTTGTATAAAAAAATTTAGGTCAAAGGTGGCTCCTCAGTTCAAGATCATGGCATACCTAAGACCCAATTGAAATTTGTATAGGAATTTATAGATTGCCCACCAAAAGTGAAAATAATAAGATTTGAACTTGACCTTACAAACTTAAATTTCTAAATCCCAAATAGTTGTTATAAAATGTTTTATGTTATATATTATAATATTTTAGATAAAACATATGGTGCGATTGACTAAAAATCCATAACCAAATAGTTGTTATGTGAGGATTGCGTTATAATATGATGTGGTGGTGCTATTTACTATACAATAGTTGCTGCTTTTAGTAGTTGTTGTACAGTACGATCGGTGGTAGGGCAGAGGGAAGACCTAAGGTAGGGTGGAGGTGAATCCATGAAGCACCGGACGGAGGACCGCCCACCGATCGCTTTCCGTTGTGGAGGGACCCTTCACCCTTCTTTTCTGAGAAGGGCTGTAAATGAGACGAGACAGATTGTAAGCTATTCGAGATCGACTCGATCAAGGCTTGATAAATACTCATATCGAATGGACTCGAGCTCGAGCTCGACTCGAGTTTTTAATGAGCCGAAACGAGCTACTCGATATTCGACTCGAAAAGCTCGTGAGCAGTTCGAAAATATAATATATTAAGATTTTATTTTTTTTAAAAATAAATTATTAATAATATTAATATTTATGTATTGATTTTTTAAAAAAAAATACAGTAAGATTTCATGTATTTAAGGTTCATGTTCGAGTTTGAGGCTTCAATCGAGTTAAGTTTAAGAATTTTTTTCTTCATTTCGAGCCTTTTAGAGTTGCTTACGAGCTTCAGTTTAGGATTTCGAATTCGAGTCGAGCTTGAAAATTTTAAGCTCGCGAGTTTTCGAATCAAACTCCATTTCAGAGTTTTCGAGTCGAATCGAGCTCAGTTATACTCGAGTTCGATTCGGCTCGTTTACACCCGAGTCCCTCCTTTCGAGTTGACCTCTAATGAATCTCATATATATATATATATATATATATATATATATATATATATATATATATATATATATATATTAATAACATAAAATGAATAATTATAAATAAATCTTTAGGATAAACAAAAACAATAAAATAAATATCTAATAAAAAATTAAATTTAAAATAAATATTTACACATCCTAACGATAAATTACCTTGGCCACTGGCCTAACGATAAAAAACAAGTGTGTGGAATCACACGACTTACCCACAATAGATAAACTTGTGTACATTGTTCAATCTTATGTTTTACGATACATTAACGTACGTACGTGCAAAAGCAAGTGCCCCCACCCCTCGAACACTAGTTGGGCATCTTAGTGCAAAAGACAAACTCACCTGTCATCTCCCTTTGACCATAGAAAGTGGGATGATCCTCGATCTCTCTATCAATGGTGATGGCTGAGCAGCACCACAATCAACTGCTCATCAAAAGTGATCCACTAAAGTAAGACATCTTATCAGCTACTCTTCGGATCGATGAACCAAACACGCTTTAATGCCTTAACAAATCAAGGCCAATGGATTACTAGGACTGTTAATTTAGAATCTTAAAATTACGCCCCCCTTCTGTGGTTCTTATCATCGACTATGACCTAACCTAACCGCACTGCTTTGCTTATCGTCTGTTAGACTCACTTCAGGCTCGAGCCTTGTATGAGCATAGTGGCTCACTTAATGGATCCGTGGTCCAGTCTGATACCCCATTTTGATACTTGTCTATTACAAGTTATTGACCGACCAACCGGCGTGCTATTTTGTTCTCCGAACTTTTCAGACTCACTATATTATTAGTCGCTGGTACATCAAAACTCCATACACCAACAGGTGAGGCTGCCTTTTAAAGGCTCTGAATACTCCATACGTGTGTAAATATGTATATTCTAGGAGACATCAATTACTAGTGATAGAGCTAGCAACAAGGGATGCAGACAGAGAGGATGCGGCGTCAGTGGAAATCAAAGCATGCGTTAATTTTGGAAAGTTCTCGGACGATAATTGGTCAATCATCAACATACTTGGGCATATTTTGGATACTGTGTAAGGAGTGCCGCAAGTGGCATCCCGAAGGTCCATGCATCCAGGCAAAAGCATTTCGTTCCCACTGATGACATGCAATTGGTGTGGAGGTAGAGGGTGCAGCAAAGGCTGCTCGGGTCATGGGTGGATCAGCTGGCATTGTACTGCCCAATGTACATTTTGTTAGAAATATTTTTTGAGACGAGGATAAATTATAGTAGCAGCATGTCGTGTCATGTGAAGGTGGATACAAATTCTACAATAGTTAGATCCGAGGATTGGCCCAATTGTTGAATGTGTATTTGTTTCCTACTAAACTCGATGGGTTCCAATACTGGGCTGAAATGTCAACTTCACTTATGAATTTAAGTGTGGGTGGGTACCTAAAATTAAACCACAGTGTAAACGTCATATTCACTCCTTTACCACGTGTACGGTTTCGCGGGAAATCCATCAACCATACTTATTACCTAACATCAAACTTTAACTTTTTTGGTTCACAACGAAACATTAACTTTTTCAATCAACCTAATAGTTTTCCCATAGTATTTAAATTATTTATATTGTTTTAATTTATATAAAAAAATATTACGTATAAATAATTTCAGATTCATATACTTTTGTATATATTTTCAATCAAACTACTTAAATTTTTAATTTAAAAATTATGTAATCATTATATTTTAATTATTAAATAGACATTCTACGTATCTCTTATATATTAGGCTTGACCCTACCAACGACAAGTAATTAAAAAAATAAATTATATGGTTATGCCGAGTCCTGGATCCCTCCTTAGTCCTTCCATTTGGTGTTGTTTCAATTTCAAATTATTTAACCATTTCATTCTTCATGATTTCCTTCTATCTCTTCAATTGAAATCCTAGATTTCACAGTTCCGAGATATGGCGGAGAAGGTTTCTTCAATCTTATCCTTTTTTTTGTAATTTGTAAATTGTCATGCAAATCCCAGATTCCCAGTTTTTTTTCTCTTCTTTCTGCGATATGAGAACCTGAATCTGGTACTTGTACTTTCCTTTTGTCTGCTAATGATGATATTGGAATTATATACGCAAATCCACTAGAATAATAGCTTAATATGTATATACATGTTTTTGTATGCGGATATAGGTGACGATAATGGTGCTGAAGGTGGACCCTTCAGTGCCGCCGCTGCTACAAGAAGGTTAAGAAAGTAGTCGCTAAATTCCCTCGTGAGTTTCTGTTGTTGAATTTTGTGTTTCTGTAAGATATTTTTATGTTCTTCTACGATCTAAGTTAAAATTTTATTATGGGAAGAGATACGAGATCAAATTTACTACGAGAAGACCAATACAGTGATGATTAAGGTGATATGCTGTGATCCTGAGAAGCTCAGGGACAAGCTATGCTGCAAGGGTAGCGGATCCGTCAAGAGTATTGAGATCAAACCACCTCCTAAGCCACCTGTACCAGCACCAGCACCAGTACCTACATCAAAACTGAAGCCCGCACCGATACCGACACCAAAACCAACACCGGCACCAACACCCATGCCAGCACCAATACCGATACCGGTGCCAGCACCGATACCGACACTGAAGACTCCAGAGCCCTATCCTCTGCCACCAATTGCATATCCGCCCATGGGATGTTGTTGCACGGAATGTTACCATGGCATTGGTGGGTGGCCTTGCTATTATGGTGGACCACCTCCTGCACTCCCATATCCATGTTACGTGACTTATTGCAGGCCAGTTTACGATAATTGGACCAGCGGCGGGTATAACTCGTACTGTTATTGCGATAAAAATCCCCAAGGTTGTTCAATCATGTGACGTCCATTGCTGACCAGATCGAAAAGCATGTCCTGTTGCCTGTTCGATGATTCGACAAACAAATATTCAACGCAGACATCACCTTGGGACATGTTCTTAAATCGAACATGATCTTCTCAAGTTCTTGTAACTCTTTTGGGCTGAGAATTTTACACTACGGTTCGGACCAAACATGATGTGTCTATGCAAGCGTTACCAAAAGTTTGGGTTTGCAATGAGTTGTGAGGTTTGAAATGGATTGTGTTGACTTATCTTTTGAATTGTCATTTGTGGGTTGGTCGAGGAGTGAATTATTGTTATGGCTTTGCAAGTTCCATTTGAATACTTAAAAAAAAATCTTCTAATCAGATTCCGTTTGAAGAATTTACCTTTAAAATTGTAGTTCTGATCCAAATAATTATTTTGCCCTTAAGCTTTATTTTTTGTTCAAATCGCAATCTTAACCTTTCAATTGTTGTCAAATATGTCAGATTTGGATAAAAAAAACTACTGTGACCATTAATTGACAAAGCCGCATATGGAAAGCCGCATAATCACGTTAGCACTTCCATCTAAATAGGATATATTTGACAAAATTCAAATATTAAGATTACAATTCAACAAAAAGATTTCAGAGCAATATTAAAAAGATAGACAAACGTTAAGGGTGAAAAATATAATTATGCCAGGAAACATAAATGAGAGATACAATTACTCAAATCAAACTATTTGTCGTATTAAGGCCATCCGCCAGCCATCGCATGCAGATTGCAGAGAGAAAAGGAAAGAATGTAGAGTCAGCAATCAAAAAGCAACCCATCATATAAAATTCCGATCAAATTCCACGTGTCACCAATCAACTGAGTTCAAGAGTGGATCATAGTGTGATTATTATGGATAATATATTTTCATTCCTAAAATTTTTTAAAAAATTATTTCTCTTAAAATCTTAGAAATTCATCTCTTAACTAAGGTCCTAGGCTGCCTTCCTTACCTAAAAATAGTGAATTAAAAAGCTTAAATTATAAGGCTCTCTGTTTAATCAACCAAATCTGCTCATACTTCCCTTTCAAAATCATTTCTTCAATTCATAGCTCAGTTCAGATCATAATCTATGGCTGAGAAGGTTCCTTTAATCTCATACCTTTGCAATTTCATTGTAAATTGTATGATACATTTTTTTTTGTTTAATCTGACTGCCTTACATGTGTAGGTGATGGTGCTGAAGGTGGACCTTCAGTGCTGCAAATGCTACAATAAGGTGAAGAAATTACTCTGCAAATTCCCTCATGAGTTTTCTTTTGTTGTGCTTGTGTGTTTAGTGTTTTGGCAATTGCAACAGTTGTTTGATGATTGAGGTGGAAATGGTCTAAGTTAATGTTTTGATTGATGGGTTTTTGCCAACAAGAGAAATACGTGACCAGATTTACGACAACAAGGCCGACACGGTGACGATTAAGGTCGTCTGCTGCGATCCCGAGAGGCTCCGGGACAAGTTATGCTACAAGGGCGGCGGATCCATCAAGACCATTAAGATCAAACCACCCCCAAAACTACCTGCACCCGAAAAACAAAAAGAAACCGAAAAACCCAAAGTACCCGAGAAGCCGAAGGAACCCGAAAAACCCAAAGCGCCCGAAAAGCCAAAGGAACCCGAAAAACCGAAAGTGCCCGAAAAGCCGAAGGAACCCGAGAAGCCCAAAGCCCACAAAAAGCCTAAAGAACCTGAAAAACCGAAAGTGCGCTAAAGGAGCCTGAGAAGCCCAAAACGCCCCCGAGAAGCCGAAAGAACCACCAGCTCTACCTGCTGCACCGGCACCGAAGGAACCTGAACCTTGTCCTCAACTGCCAATGGCGTATCCGACCTTCGGATGTTGTTGCACACAATGCTATCATGAAATTCCCGGAGGACCTTGTTATTATTACGGCGGAGCACCTCCACCCCCATGTTACGGGACTTACAGTAGGCCGGTTTACGATAGTTGGGGCGGTGGTGGGTATAGGTATTGTTACACCAAGCGGCCGAGTGAATGATTTAGCGACGAGAACCCAAATGGTTGCTCAATTATGTAAAGCGTAAACGCCGCAAATGGTAGCGTATAGTCAACTTCATGGATGACGTTACATCAGTTGATAATAACGTTGCACGACCTACATTTGTTGTTTTTTTTAAGATTAATGTGCTCACACACTCTATATATAGGTGATTATCGTGTGGAGTAACCAACCTCTATTTATATCCCTGAGGAAAAGAAACCAGGGAATAATATGTCAATCTCAAGTACATTAGAAAAACACAATAAAAACAACCACCATCATCATCCATTTTCAAATCTCCAACCCTTCTTCTTTTACAATTACCATTACAAACCCATTTTCATCTGCTAGAAAAACCCAATGCAATATTTACACTCACAGTCATACCCAAGAAATGTACAATGAATCCCAATTCTTCCACCATCCATGGCACTCTTCAAGATGTCTGCCTTACCCTGCTCAATAAACATTCTCATTTTAGAGTCTTAACAATCCAGCAACAGTGTAGAAATAACAAGGTTTGTCATAAGCCTGTTGGATCGTATCGTAAGAACATAAATGGATTATGTTCTCACGATGATATATAGGATCCAACGAGCTACCAGTATCGACAACGAAAAGTACATCGAACCAACCTTCTAGGGTAGTTTTTGATGTTTCTCATCTTTCTGGTATCCTCCATTTTGGCTGAGCCGTTTTTCTTTTCTTTAATTACTGCTGCTTTCTTCACTCGTTTGGATTCCACTTCCATGGCTCTTGACAATGCTTCAACCTTCTTCACCAGTATCTGTAAAACGAATCACCTCTTTCAGTAATTCATACATACATAAAGGGAACAGGTACTACTGCTTCACCTTTATTTCTTCATCTTTAGCATTCAAACTGCTATCTTTAGCCTCACAAAACTTCCTTAGATTGATCACCTCTTTCTGAAGCCTGTCGTACAAATAGCCTGAAACCGTATCTTCGGCACCACTGTCCACGTTGTCACTGTCTTTCCGTACGTTAGCATCGGCATTTACCTTTGTTTCTTCGTTTTCCTTTTCGCTACCATCAGCAACCTTACACCTAGACGCCCACAAATTTTTCCTTACCATATTTTCTTCTGGTGCAGCCCTATATTTCAAGCTGCCACCTTGTCTCGTTCTAGCATTGGCTGTTTCGGTTTCTATGCTCGGCCACTGATGTGAAGAGCCACTTACGGTGGAACCCCTTGGCTGTGAGTTAGACCTCTTCCTTAGTCCACTGCTGCTTGTTAAAAGAGTTAAGATATTGCTGGACTTGACTGGTTTAGGTGACAAACTTGACACATGTTTTAAGCCATCTTCTAATATCTTGAGCCTTAGCTTGAATTTCTCCTTAAGCTGTGCTTCTGCCTTTGCTGTTCTCTCTGCCACTGCTAGTTTGTCCTTCAATCTTTGCATCTCAGCCTGTAAACACACGAATTTCGTGATTCATCGATCGATAAATATGTTACTTTCGAGGAAATTTATTGCCATTGACTTACATTTGTGAGCTTATTGAATAGCTTAGAGTTTCCAAGAATTTACCTGCAGCAGCCTCCTATCGTCCAGCCATTGCTTGACAGGCATTACTTTGTCATTCTCATCCTTCCACTCATTCGCTACAACGGCCGCCACACGGTTTGCCGAGACTTTAGCCCTTGCAAGCTCTCTCTCAAGTCTCCTCTTTTCTTCCTGCGTTAATCAAAACTCATTGCTGTTAATAACTATACTAGGATAGTTCTTGTAAGCATGGAACATACATTAAGTTCGGAAATTTGTCTCTGATAGTCACGGGTAGAATTAGCAGCAGCCCCACCGGCCAAAATTGCCTCCTCGAGTTTCTTAATCGTTTGGCTTAGCTTTTCGACCTCTAACACCTTCTGCCGATTGGTTTTCTCAAGGATCTTGTTCTCCTCCTGCATTAAGACATACAATTTCGACATGTTTAAACGGTCTCGAATCCCTTACGAGGAGGGTGTTCGCTCGGTCGGTTCGGTTAACTTGCCTGACAAATCTCAATCTGTCTCCTTAACTCAAAATTCTGGTTTTGAACCTCCTCAACTATCAAAGCCCTTTCCAAAGCACTTCTCAGAATCCCCTCTGCTTTGAGCAGGGCGGACTCTTTCGATTTAGTGAGACGTTCTAACGCCCTCTTATCCTCCTGCAGCGCTGCGATCTCGTGTCTGTACATTTTAATCTCCGACTCGAGAGGAGCGATGACCGATTTGATAGAGACACCATCATCATCCTTCTGATTCGCATGCACTCTTCTGAGAGTTGCTTCAGCAGCAAACTGAGCAGCCAATGCATCTTTCTTCTCGATTGACAGCCTCTTGATTTCGAGGTTCTACGATTGAATATGACCAATTCGCAAGCGTTAGCTAAACATATAATAAAAGTACAGAAATCACTATCAACAAAACTAAAGGCACCTGACCTTAAATTCAAGGACATTCTCAGTGACCCTATGTTTCTCATCCAATTTTTGAACTTCACTCTGGAGCTGCACATTAAGCTACATGAATCCAACCTAATAACATCAATTAAACACATCATCAATCCAACATAATTTCACCTACTTCTTGTATGGCCTTATCCTTCAATGCTTCGGTTGCTCTCAAAGATTTGATTTCAGCCTGTGCAGAGCCTAACTTCCGTTCCTTTTCTGGAACAATATTCACAATGGTCAGTAACATATAACATGACATGTTCAGTTTCAGAAACAAAATCATCAGACAACCTTTGAGTTGGTTCTGCAATCGGGTGAGCTCTAACACGACATGTCCCACAGGCGCGAATGATTCCTCGGCACACACCATTTTTTTGATAACGAGTTTATATTTCCGGCGCTCGGTACTGCACCCAAACAATACCAGCAGCAGCAGCAACAATAACAGAAGACTTGGGGTTGTTATGGAACAATATCTATAATTACACACACATATATATATACACACAGACACGCACAAATGGATTTAGTATTATAGTTAGAGAAAGTGACAGAGTCCATTACTTGAAGGAATTGACCGCAAAGAGAGGAAAGCTTACCTTAATCTTAAGCAAATATCCGAAAGCAACTAAGGTTCACTTTCATTCTTATTATCATTATCTTGACAATGATGTCAACTTTTCATTTCCTTTCTCTAAATGATTCATTATCATAAATATAATACTAATTACCACTTAAACCTAATCATTGTTTGTCGACTTTCCCAAAAACTAAATCCATTAACTATGTATATGTATGTATATACATGCGTTGTACAAAAAGTGCATTAGCTGGTGCCATTTGCAGCGAACTTTAGTGTATGACAGATAAATCAAAAAGCAACTAAGCCAATAATAGGGAGACAAATCCGAGAATTTTGATTCATCTTTATTCTAATCATTTTATAAATTGAAATGCTTTGCTTGGTTGTCATTCTTTTCAACATTCGAGCTATTTTCATGTCAAAGTTTATAATACGATGATTCATTGACGGTAAATATTTGACGAAGATTTTGTAACATGGTAATGTCATGGTGAAAGATCCTCCTTCTGGAAGAAAAAAATGGATTCCTTAAGCGCTAAATATTGCAGAAACCAAGGGCTTCTTCTTGTAAGGTTCACGGGGGCTTTCAAACACGCTTTGAATGAACCAAGTTAATGAGGCGTTGATGACCCTAATCCATCTTGGCTTAAAAGTCATTGAGGATCGAATATATAGGGTATTGTTATTTAGGGTCAATTCTACCGATCGTCCTTGAAATATGACTCAAACTTTTAATTGGTCCATAAACGTTAAAACATTTTAGTTGAGTTCTTAAAAGCATAACATCATATCAATTATATACTACACAAATGGTCCTCCGACTATAGGGTGTTGTTGTATTGAGTCTCTCAACTATTAAAAGTTGCAAAATGATCCCATGACTATATGGCGTTGCTTTGTTGAGTCCCTTAATTATTAAAAGTTACAAAATGGTCACCCGACTATTCATATGTTCTAAACTAGTTCTTTTTCGTTAAAAAAATAATGACAAATTGAGCTAGATATTAACACGTTGACTGAAATGTGATAATCATTTGAGATTTTGGGATCATATTTTATCATATCACAATTAACATATTAATATTCAACTCAAACTATCATCATTGTTTAAACAGAAAAATAACGAGTTTAGAACATATTAATAGTTGAGTGATCATTTTGTAACTTTTAATAATCGATGACTCAACAAAGCAATATCCTATAGTCAAATGATAATTTGTAACTTTTATTAGAAGAGGTGAAAATTTTATTTAACTAATATTTAAACTAATAAAGACCTAAAATATTATACTACCAAAAATTTAGAGGGTCATAGCCCGTCCCTCCCACCCAACAAAGGCTTCATCCTTGTTGTTCTTAGGCTTAGCTTGTTTTCATTGTGTAACCTCTTCAAACTTCTTATGTCTGCGTCGCGCAGACCACACGCAGACATTAGGCTTCGCAGACCGTTTGTTTTTTAGAAGACATAAGCTCTTCTAACGTCTGCGCGAGCTCTTCTTGGTGCAGACATAGTTTTATGTCTTCAAAAGTCTTCAAACCATTTCAAGAACAATTATAAAATATGGTTATTTATTAAAATAATTTTAAATAATTTAATAAGGTTATTTATTTTAAAACAATTTGTTTTAAAACAATTTATTATAAAATAATTTATTTTAAAATAATTTATTATAAAATAATTTATTTTAAAATAATTTATTATAAAATATAGATTGATTTATTTTAAATAATTTATTAGTACGGATTGATTTATTTTAAAATATCGATTGATTTATTTTAAATAATTTATTAGTATGTATTGATTTATTTTAAAATATGGATTGATTTATTATTGTAGTTGTATGGATTGATTTATTTTAAATAATTTATTAGTATGGATTGATTTATTTTAAATAATTTATTAGTATGGATTGATTTATTTTAAAATATGGATTGATTTATTATTGTAGTTGTATGGATTGATTTATTTTAAATAATTTATTAGTATGTATTGATTTATTTTAAAATATGGATTGATTTATTATTGTAGTTGTATGGATTGATTTATTTTAAATAATTTA